GATAAATACATGTTTCTGAATTTTTTGCAGGTTTGATTGTCCCCATCATTATATAAGTTGCCATGAAAAACAAAATTTACTTTGGAAACTTGCTTTTCTCACCTCCTCCCTTCCCCACCCCCACCAAGGTTCTAAATAATATTTATTGCATGCAGGTTTAATATTCTAGTATATGCTAGAAGGTTCAGTTCAATGCATAGGATTTTCTTTCCTTGCAGAAAGCCTCATAAAATTCCTGCCTGATATCTCCAATTGAAAGGAGAGAGTAGCAGGTATAGGGTTTTCTCCTGAGCAGGGGATTGGACTAGATTTACAGGGGTGTCAAACTGCTGGTCCGCGGGCTGGTTGCATCATGCGGAGGCTGCACCTGCCCCAGCTCTGGCAATGTGAAAAAAGTTGTGATACGTCGCAACACGTCATGTGGTGCGGCGAATTTGACACCTGTGGACTAGAAGATCTCCAAGGACCTTTCCAACTCTGTGATTCTGTTATTCTGATTTTCTGTATCATTTTTTCAGGTCATCCTTATTTTCAGGCAATAGTGTTGTATCGTCGGCATACTCAAACTATTTATGATTCTTCCTACAATCTTCAGGCCCAAATCAGGCTGTTCCAGGTCTAATTTCTGAATTATCACTTCAGCATACAGATTGAACAAAAATGGTGATAAAACACATCCCTGTCTAACTCCCTGACTGATTCAATTTGTGTTGCAATAGGGTTCTCACTGTTGCCTCCTGATCACTGTACAATGATCTGGTAAGTCTGATCAGGTGGGTTGGGACACCAAAATCACACAAAACTGCCCATAGCTTATTGTGTTCTACACAGGCAAAAGCTTTTCTGTAATCAATAAAACACATATATAGATCCTTTTGATATTCATGTGCCTATTCCATAATTCATCTAATATTGGTAGTGTGATCTTGAGTGCTAAAAGCCAGCTTATACATCAGGTAACTCTTGATCAAAGTCGTTCTATAGTCTGTTGAATGATCTTTAACAGAAACTTGCTTACATGAGAAATCAATGCAATCGTGCAATAGTTGAAGTAGTCTCTGGCACCACCTTTCTTTACTAATGGGATAAAAACAGATGTTTTCCAATTGTGAAGCCATTGACATGTGGACCATATTCTGACACAGGGCTGTGATGATGTTAACTGGCACTGGTTTTAGTAATTCCACAGGTATTCCATTAATACCTGGGGCTTTCCAATTCAGCAATTTCTCCATGGCCCATTCTACTTCTTTCAAGATGTTTGGTTCTTTATTAATTGGGCTGTCATTATTGTTATCTTCATGGTAAGTCTTTCTATATATTCTTTCTACCTGTTCTTGATCTTCTGCTGGTCACTGAGTACGTTCCCTTTGCAGTCTTCAATAATTCCTTGCCATGCTGAAAAGCTGGATCACATCATTTTCATTACGACAAACATGACCTTAGTATGCCCTTCCCTGTTGGCTTCTTCCAGATGTTCACACTGCCTGTTTTTGTCTTTCCTGGCCCACTTGGAAAATTGCATTCAGCCTTTTAACTTTGTCTTTATTATCTTTCACTTTGGCCGCTCTACACTGATCAGATATTTTGATGGTTCCATCAGATAGCCCCTTGTTTGTTCTCTTTGGTTTTGGCATGACATGTTTTCCAGACGTTTCCATGATGTTACCTTGGATCTCTTGCCACTGTTCATTTGATCTTTCCCTTCTAGATTCAGTAGTTCCAACTATTCTTAAGTTCTATGATGTACATAGGTGACATGTTGTCCACATTGAATTTGGGGGGGGGGGGAATAGTACCTTTTTAACTTTGCAGTTTGAGCTTCAATTTAGCCACTAATAACTGATGGTCTGAGCTACAATCAGTGGCAGGAAGCATCTTAACAGATGCAACTGAACCTTTCCAGTGTTGACATAAAATGAAGTCTATCTGATTTCAATGTTGTCCATTTGGTGCTGTCCATGTGTATAAACATCACTTCAATTGAATAAATCACGTTCATTACTCTGAGATGATTTTCCTGGCAAAATTGCACTATGTGATCGTCATCTTCATTCCGTTCACCTACCCCAAACTTGCCTACTTTTCTTGCAATTTCTCCCTGGCCTACGCTTGTATTGAAATCGCTCATAATATGCAAAATATTCCTTTTTGGTATTTGCATGAGAGCACATTGAAGCTCACTGTAAAAAAGTTCAATTTCATCAACGTTTGAGTCTATACTTGGAGCATAGATTTGTAGTATGGTGATGTCGAGTGGCTTGCTTCAAATTTGGATAGATATTATGCAATCACTGTATGCTCTGTGATTCTCAACATATTTGAGTCACTTGTTTGCTTACACAGAATGCAACTCCTTTTCATCTGATATCATTTCCCAAAAAATATACCATCAACTCATCTGATTTAAATTAACCACTGCCTTTCCAGTGTAATGTCTATGCCAAGGATGTCTATGTTCACTCTAATCATTTCTCTTTTTACAATTTTGAGTTTCCAAAGGGAGATTCCTCTAACATTCCATGCTCTAATTTGATATAAAATGCTTTATGGCAATGCTGTATTAGATAAACTAAAAAGGGCAAGGCAAATTTTACTGTCTTAAGTGACTTATTTTAAAAACAATTTGCATTAATTCTGGTGTTATTTATAAAAGAAAAAAAACACACAGGGGCTATTACTCAATATTCTGTATGGATCACAAGACAAAATACCACAGCCAAACAAACATGAAGGCTTTATTTTATTTTTTTTAACAAAATGTCCAATCTCATTCTTTCTGAGAGTTTATCTTGTAAAACACAGTACTGTTAAAGATTCCCACCCATTTCATGCTGGTTTTGCCACCATCTTAGAGTTCGATTTATTTTTTTTAGAAATAGAATTTGAATTATTAGATTTCTGTGTGAAAAGTCAAAACGGACAGACTCCAATAAAAAAGGGACAAGATAGAAATGTATCCACTACAATTTATTTTCTACAATACTTCATTAGAGGGTAAAGTTCAATGATTTACACTCAGAAGTTATATAGCTAGGAGGCAACCAAGTGTAATAACAAAGAATTGGTCTGACATCTCTTCACTGAAGGTTTAAAGAGGTTCTTTAAAAGGAACAACTTAAATTAACCAAAGCATTGTTCATTTTAGAATTGGGGAAAAAGTAGAAAACAGCACTCAGTCAGAGAAGACTGCAATGTTAAAATGAGTAGGGAAAAGGGTTATGTGCAAAACTTGAAATGTGGAAGGTTAAAATATGCAATTAAAAATAATATTCAGAACAGGTAGATGTTGACTGTAACATCTTTTGAATTGAAATGCCTCTATTGAGATTGCTATTTATTATGAAAAGAAAATCTCTTGAAAAATATTAAAAACAGTGAACCTCTGATGATTAATGATATCCTCTGCTGTTACTTGGAAGGGATGGGAACTAAAAAAAAAAATCCCTTAAGAGTTCCTAGGCTGCAACAAAGGAGATTCTCAACCACTTACAATAAATTCTTCTAAACCAAAAGGCACTTGCTTGTAGCTAAGGATGAGCCATTTCCCAATCATACCAGAATACTATTGCTAAGTTCGCTGTATAGTTACATCACTCTTTAATCAGATAGAAAATACAACATTTAGGACTCTTGAAAAGACAGCGCTCTTCTGGCTTTTTTGTTGGTTTCCATATTTTTTGTGTTTATTAGTTTTGGGCTCATCACAGTACATCACTACTATGCATATACTATATAGATCCATGATCAATTCATTCTGTAGCATTGACATACCATACTGTGACTGAACTCTATTTGTGATCAATGTAATTATATCCATTCCTCTTACTGTTCTGTGTGCTCCATTGCCTGTTGCTGTTTTACTTACTAAAAGAAAATCACAATCCAACTTTAACAGAGGCATTTCCATTACTATGGATTAGGAGATTAGATGGAAACAGGGGCATGGAATGGGACCAGCTCTCACTCCAAAACTATTTTGACTTATTTCATTATAATAATAAAATTAGACCAAATAAGTTGTCACACTTAAAAGTCTGTTCTTTAAAATATTAAGGCCCCCATCTGACTCCTAAGCTCCTCTACACTCATTAAATCAAAATCAAATAATTAATGCTATACACTGCTGACTACATGTAACAGGGCAAACATTTTCTTTAAAAAAAAAAGCAATATTTGTACGGCACTATATGCTTGCATGACCAGTCTTACCAAATGTGCTCAGGGGTGAAAGTTTAGCACCATTGTTTTCCTTTTTGCTTTAAAAAAAATCTTTAAAATTGAAATTCTAACATAGAACACTAATAGTAATTTGTGTAGCCCTATAGTTCAATACTGTTTGAGAGCAGAGATGGATGGCATGACCGGAGCTTAACTTTTCCCTCCCGTTCTACAGTTTCTTTTCTGTTGAGGGCACCAGTAAGAGTAGTAACAATTCACTTTAATTTGTAAGAAGGCTAATTTACTCTCAGTAAGAGAAAACTGTGGAAAAGTGCCTTCATATATATTTACTTTTCAGCATAATCAGAAGGGAAAATCAGTAATCCAAACGAATAATCCCAGTGCAAAACTAAAAGCTATAACAATATTGTGCATGGCTAGTGTGTATTCCTTTTTTACCCCTTCCTTCTACAAGAATTAAATAAACTATGTGATTTTTTTCCTGAAATATGTGAAGAGTGCAAGAAAAATAATGCAGTTTGAACGAATCCTAGATTCTCTTAAGTAGGCCTGCTGCAAAGAAGGTACATACATTTGCCATTTTCTAGCCAGCAGTTTAAGTGTTGACAAATAATGTTTACCTCAATATATAAGCAATTCATGTTTACTTATACTTCTTTCCAAGAATGAGGCGTCTGCTTAGCCTTAGAGGCTTTGCTTTGAGATTGCATTTACTCTTCTGTTTTACCCTGATAAGGTTAATTTGTTCAAAAGATATGGAGATTTTTATCCTGTATTCAAATGGAATTTCTAGATACTTTTTGGTATTTTTTTTTTTTACAAAAGCAACTGTTGTTCCATATAGTGAAATATGGTATCATATTGCCATAATGCTGAGTTCTTCATCTGATTGTTCCTGTTTTTCAAGATGATTATCACTTTTTTCAGAAATCCTGCATTTCATTTCATTTAGAAGATTAATGCTACATTTTATGAATTAACTTTGGGGATATTGTAGTTCATATGATAACACTTAATGACTCACACAGGAAAATTGAGATAGTGAATATTTTGGAAAAAATTCTGTTTACTGTTCAGTGTCCTGCATATTCAATTAACAATAGAAAAGTTGAAAATCTACAGGATATTAAAACCTGGATCCCAGTTAAATTTTCTTGGTGGGTAAATAACATTGTTTAGATTCCAATTGTAAGTACAGTTAACTGGACGCAATTAATTTAAATTAATTTATTTCCAATTACTGTATATTATTTAGGGCTAAATCATCAGTGCAGCAAGAACACATGCAGATCTGATAACCAATTTCAGCTAACATTTAATGTGTTTAATTGCCTATTAGTGCCACACTAGCAAAAAACCCTGCTGCCTGTGAAAAACACAGGCCTCATGGAATATTTTCAATGACAAAAATCCACTCTTTTTATTACAATAAGAATAGTTTTGTGGGAAAAGATCTGCTGCAATTCATTTGCAAATCCTACTACCTGAACTTTAAGTAAGACACCCCAAAAACCCCAAAGATTATCCTTTTGGGATACAAGGAAACCTATGCTACTTCCATACACAACTCTTAGTGGTTTGCCTTTTTGTATGCAGTACCTTATCTAGTAAGTTACTTTCTTTTTGTGTCAAATAAAATAAACAAAAGTAGCTAGGTGTATAAATTGAAACCTTCTGGATATGAATAGGCAATGCATTTTATCTGCAGTAAATTTTATTTTACTTTTTAAATCTTTGATTAATTGCCATCTTTTGCAAGGAGGATAACTTCCAGACATACCATCCTTATAACAAGTCATAACATGTTTGCTTGGGACATGTTAGGACTACTTAGCTTATGGCAGATAAATATTAGAGATTAAAAAAAAAGAAAATACAAATAACCTAAAAATCTTTTTTTGGACTCCGTTGCCAGACTGCCAGAAGAAATCTCCTACTTGATCAGGGGGCATTGTAATTAACAATTCAAATGAACACAGTGCAATTTAATACAGAGACAGAGCAGTGGTACTGCCATTCCTCAAGTTTCTCTCTATCCAACAGCAATGGTCCCAGGTACTCAGTCCAAATGAACCCTCATTCTGAAAAATGAAGTAAGCTTGGGCCTCTGAAATTCAGTTGCACTCACTTTGTAGCCCCCACCACCCATAATCAATTGGAAGGCAGACTTGGCAACGGAAGCTAGCATCATAAAATGGTGCAGTAATAGAAGTAACTGGACCAGGAAGAGGAGGCATCTGTTCCAATGATGTCGTAGCTGGCAGCTGGGGGGCGGGACTGGTCATGCAGCTTTGTGTCAGGAGTAATGATTGTAGAGGGGTGGGGCATGAAGAGTGCCATTTTGAAAACAATGCTGTCGTGAAGCCATGTATTCTGCATAACTGATTGTCACCTTCTCACTGCGGTATCTGAAAGAAAAAATGACGGAATTTAAAAAATATATTTATAAATAAAACAAAGAGATCAAATTTGCCATAGGTGAAACTGAAATCCTACTGCTATATGTTGATGCAATAACCTATTAAATTTCCTATCAATACAGTTCTCTTAATTTAACTTCTTCACTCTGCTACCGGCCAGATATAAACTTCAGAGTTATGGAAGCTGTAGTCCAATTAACTGAGACAATATCAATTTTGTAGGAAAGGCTTTTTATATTGTTAAGTATTCAAATAACATGAAATATCTATATTCCAGTAAAAAGTCGTATATTATTATCACCCTTTTTCTATAGCAGTGGTCTTCCACTCACTCTGGAAGCAGAACTGAAAAAGGCTTTAAGTTGCTTCTGGTGTGAGGAGATATTTCCTTCCAGGTTTTGGAATGACAAACCAGAAAATGCAAGGGATATGAAAATGTGATGTGTATATAAATTCAATGTACCATTTTCTTACAGCAGAAGCAGGCAATTCTCCAGTGGAACGTTCTAGAGGTATCCCTGAGAGTGGGATCGTAGCCCTTCTTACGAAGTAATGGAGTTACCTTTTAGCTGAGATACACTTTAAGCTTATACAGTAATGCTTTTTAAAGGAGGACATAGAGAGCCATGTGTAAATCCTACAGGTGCCTTTCAGGATAGGGGCATTGGTGATACAGATGGCTGATCATAAAACCAATGGAGTCAAAACAATAACCAAGTGAAGGATAAACATACACAACAACCAATGAAATCAGCAACCAACCCCCCTTGCTTCAATTAACTTTTCAACTCTGACCTTAGCTGCTCGACCAAAGACTCAGAAAGAATTCTGATAGGAGAAATGGGGAACAGTCTAGTTTTTCTGTCCCCCACGACTTGGAATAGTTGGGGAGTCCCAACATGGGCTTTCTTGCTTTTTATTCTGCCTCTGAGGTATGGTTAGTTTCTGGTACAGTATGTGCCTGGTTCAAAGAGACTGCAGCCTACCTAGGAATGCTTTGGATTTTCCCATGAACTTCTGGGAAGAGAAGATTGTTATGAGTGGGAGTGGGGAGAAATTACCTGACTGAATTAGTTAGGAAGGTTGGAGGTGGTTGCTGCCTTGATGAAGGGATTGTGGGACTGGGTAATCAAAGTGGGCAGCTAACATCCCCTCTGGTGTCTAGGGTCCCAGTGGTGCAGTCACTGTTGGCCAGTACATCTGTGGAGAGTGCAGTGGTGAAATGAGAGAGCATGTTGCTGTTTCACTGGAAGCTGGACCTCATGATTGGCCAAAGTTGTTGGGAGAAGTCAACTGCTATAACCCCAGGCAGCAAACTGCTACACATGCATGGAAGAGTTGAAGGATCCATGTGCTCTCTGTAGTGAAACAGGACCTGAACTGAGAAGAGGTCATCTCCCACTCCTCTTAACATCAAAATATTTTAAGCCCACATAACTTCCAATTTAATATTGATGCATGCTTGATAAGGGGAACGTCATAGAAGGAACCTTCCATCTATAATTGAATAGTTTTACTATCTGTTTCTCCACCTTTTTCTTTGTGCTTCCTTTTTAGTTCAATTGACTCCACTAATGGCAGTAGTGACCAATAATACTCAATGTTAATATGGTAGGTGTTATTGCTATCTAGTATTCCACTCACTACTGGATTCAAAATGTAAACATATGGGGAAGGAAAACATGAAGAACCAGCACACATGTACAGAAATTATGAATAGAAAAACAGAACATTAGCTAATCAAGTGAAACTGGGCATGGGCATATTGTGTATAATGCTAGACTGTAAAATTAGCTACCAACAGATGTGATAGATGTGATGATGGATTCTAGTTTAGAGCATCTGAAAAAGGAACTAGATAAGTTTATGGATATCAATGATTACTAATATTAAGGCCATTGTCTAACTCAAGAAGCAAAGATGGCTCTAGGAGAGGAGCCCACAGAGTTGGGAGAGAGTTGTGCATCATACGTTTAGAGTTATGTTCCCACAAACGGCCCAAATCAAATCTCTCATAAATTCTGCTGATGCCAATTTGGTACTGAACTTTAGTTGACTGGATTCTTGTGTATAGGCTTGAGTAATAAATCTTCTGAACTGCTATTGTTATGTTTACATTCTTTATCATTTTTTTTCCATTTTATTGTTGTAAACTAGATTAGCCAGATGGTGAGATGGACAGCAAATAAATTTAATAAACAGAAAAATAAATAAACTCTGCCCCCCACCTCTGCCTATTCTTCTCATAAAAGAGCTGACTTAAATACCTGTTACAAAGAAGCAACAATAGAAAAGGACATTTACAATTCATGAAATTAAGCAATTAATTTTCATCTTATTAAAAATAATGTGGCTAGTCTACCTAACATTATCATACTTTACTTCTAGAAATATCAAGGCCTAAATATTCCCTAATGTTTCCATTTTATAGCCTTAAAAAAAAAATTGACTCTTAATTATTGAAAAAAATCTTGTTTTCAAATGGGTAGAAAAAATTAAGCAAGATCTCACTAATTAATTCATAGATTATCGACTGGTGAGAAGTAGAAGATGGGCCTCCCCTGCTATAGCCCCTACTTTTTGGAATATTCTCCCCTCAGAGATTACAATAGTGCCAACCCTGCTGGCCTTTCATAAGGGGTCTGGAACTTGGAATGTGTTAAAGGCCCTATTTCTTTGCTTTACTGTTAGTTAATTATCTCGGTTGCTGTATGAACTTATACTTAGGATGTTTTTATTGTTTTAACTGTATTAATAGTTTTAGAATTGTAAGCTGCCCAGAGTCACTTGACTGAGATGGGCAGCTATAAAAACTGAATGAATGAATGAATGAATGAATGAATAGATAAATAAATAGTTTACTATTGTTAAAATGGTAAAATAAAAATTAAAAGACAACACAGATTTTACTTTGTCAAGATGTCACTTTTTTCTAAAATTCCTTTGTAGATTAAAAAAAAATTAAGAAATATAAAATAATTTCTAATACTTCCAAATTGTTGGCAATTTCGGGAATGAAGTGATCGTGGTGGTAGAAACTATAGGATCAGGAACATCTAATTTAAAATTTAAAAACTTGCATGGAAAAAAACAATTTCCAGAAATATGCTCTTCCAATTAGAAACAGAAGCAATGATAATACTAATACAAAAATAACAAGAAAGTTTACCTGGTGAGTTTAATAGTTTTCCTAAAGTCATTGGTAATTGGAGCCTTAAAACCACCTTTCCTGAGCAAGGAGTCTATTGTTTGAATCTGATCCCAATCTGTTTGAAAATGACAGCAGCAGACTTATAAATATAAACTTAATTTAAAAAAGATATAACCCTTTAAAAGAAAGCTCAAGTTACTCAGGTTATTGATAAGCTGCTGATAAATAGCTACTGATAAACAGAATAGTAACTGTAAATATTGAATACTACATGATTAAAATTTCACACATATTTTAATAATAAACAACCAAAATTATCACTTCTAATATTAGAGTTCATACTATTTTAGGTATATATTAAACAAATATAATCATGCTTTAAATGAAGTATACTGTAGCTATAATTTAAAAATTTAAATCTACTAAATTTCCCTGAAAGGTTTAAATTATACTTTGGTCTTTTCATGCAGGAAGAGAAAATGTGATTCTCTGCATGCTGGAATAAATAATTTGAGGAAATGTAATATATTTCAGGGCAAAACATCAAAATAAATCATTGACTTAAACCATAATCTGTTTTCACTGTTTTAAATATTTAAAAATCCAAACAGTTATGAATAATGCAGCAATTAAAACATGATTGCCACCTTGTTCCTAAACAAAAATTAGCCTGTAAATCTAACAAATAAATAAAAATAAAATATATGTCTTAAAAAAAATCACCACACACTGAATGTATTACTATTTTTAGCCATTTAAGGTCAAAGTCTCTGCATACTTCAACCAAAGATGAGGAATGGTTTTATTCAGCACTGTGTATGCCATCTTCATGATTTACATTCTTTACACAGATTTTACTTATAATATAGAATTACATTTTATTCCACGCTCACCTTGTTCCTTAGCAACTTCAGGTAAGTATGTAGCTGTGCGCTTGACACCTTTCTCATTGATGAACTCAATTCTGATCCCATGGATTCCAACCTAAAAGTAGAAATATTAAGTCAGCTGGGAGGTAATTTCTGGGAAAAAGGATTTACCCTTGCCATGGATCTTATTCAAACATCAATCTGAAAAAAGTCTTGCCTTGCCTCCAATTCATGTATTAACCCCTATTGGCCACGAAGACAGCTTCTCAGGGTGATTTTTGCTTGGTATTTATTACCAAGAGTAAAAGGTGACTGACTGATCATTCTTGTTCTGTTATTCTTAATAACTGTTTCCAAATCCCTAATTTAAATGTACCCATTTCTTTTCACTTTCTACAGTGTCCAATGCTTTAATTATAATTTCAGTTGTCATTGACAAGATCATAAAAGATACGTATATTTCTAAATGTTCTTCCTCATTAGAACCATTATTTTTATTTTTCCAGTGAAATCTCCATCTTTATTCCTTAGCTTAAGAAAACAAAGCTGTATATCACCCTTTAACATTAACTTTGCTGTTTTCATTTTCATAATGAGCTGTCCTCTCTTCTTTACTTTCAAGAGAAGATGATATATTTTCTATATCACAATTGGCTCATGTTTTGACTTCTAATGTTTATTTCAGCTGCTATCTCATCCAATCCTCCCATTCTTATAGCATATTTGCTAAACAAATATGGGAAAAATATTCATCTCTATCTCACTCACTTTTCTGTTCTGAACCATTCTGTTTCTCCAATCTCAGTTCTTCCTGCACCTTTTCCTAGGAAGTTGGCATTCTTTATTCCTATGGAGGCCTATCAGCTCACATGTAAATTACTCTTAGCTTCATCTATTCTTCTGATTTTGATTTCATAGATGTCCTTATGAGGAATCCATATTTGTGTTGGCATCGTTCTCAAGGTCACTGAAGCTATTGAGTCCTGCTTTTGTATCAAAGTAATAATCATTTGAGAGGGACTGAAGTAATTTATTCAGTAATTCAGATTTAAATTGTCCCTTTTTTCAAATCCCATTCTTTAAATTCTATCATTATAAGTTACCCTTACTATGGAGACAAAGTACAAAATATTGATCTGAATCCAAATGGCACGAAAGAGTGATAGAAAATTCAGATCCACAGTTTTACCTCCCAGTCCAAGTAGTTAGTGGCATCCTCGAAATTAGTGAGGAGGGAGACAGAGCAGAAAAGTTTAGGCAGCTCCTCACGAGTCAGGGGTGGAAATCTGCTGTCCTTAAGTGCACTAAAGTGGAAAGAAAACATGGTCACAAACTTATATAAAACAGCTCATGATAGTATAATTTGGAAGGTTTACTACATTCAAAGAATTATTTAGTCAAATTTAAGAAAAATTACATTGCTTTGAAACAGAACAGATTTATACATACAACAAGCAGAACTAAATAAAAATATATATACAAAATGAATCGGGCTTGGTTTTCTGAGAAATCACTGTTGATTTTACCTGGTTAATGTGTATTCCCTGAGTCCTGAGTGAAGATTCATGGCAGAGAAAGTTCCAATGCAGCCCCGAAGTCGTTTGTCTCGGCCTGTCTTCCATGTCACAAAGAGTGGGCTGAAAATGGATAAAACAAAAGCTTCAAATAATTCTTGCTGAGAAAAATTAAAATACAAAAAATATGACTGCATTTATAATGAAAAATCAATTTATGTCTTTTGCAGCTTTCAATGCCTCTGTTTCACTGAAGTAATGTTGAAAATTACTAACTGCTTTCCTTCTTTTATACTTTCCAAAATCTTAGAAGTACTTAAAATGACAGGCTACATTGTTTTTAAGAATGCACAGGAATTCAGTAGCAGTATTTGAAAAACAGGCTTTAATAATACTGTTACTAACACAAAGACTATTATTTAATAATTTCACTTGGCTTAAGTATGCAGAAGATTGAGTACCTGCTTCCTTTCTGTGCAAGAAGAGAGAAAATTGCTTCTTTTTTGGGCAGGACTTGGCAATATTTTTGGATGATCTAAATCAGGATAGGTAGGCAGCATAATCCTATTGATTCTTCTGAAGCGTTCAAATGAAAGGCAGGGAATCCGAGGCCCAAACAAATTTTGTTAAATGTCAGCTACCAACTTCACTTTTTCTTTACCAGCTACACTGTTGACTGTTTTTATTTAGCAACATCTGAAAGGCCACAGGTTTCCTGCTGCTCTGCTAGTGACTTTTAATAGCTCTGGTAATGGTTTAGTACTTGACTGGTCTTCCAGTCCAGAAGCAAGATTTTATGATGGCTCTTTCCTCAAGACAACAGGTTCCAGAAGGGCTGGGAGTATGATGTTCTTCCTCATGGAAGCCATCCTATCCTCAGTGTTCATTTAATTGTCTGTATTGCTGTAGAGGTTAAGGCGTCAGGCTAGAAACCAGGAGACTCTGAGCTCTAGTCCCATTTTAGGCCCAAAGCCAGGTGTGTGACTGTGGGCCAGTCACTTTTTCTCAGCCTAGGAAGGAGGCAATGGCAACCACTTCTGAAGAAACCTTGCCAAGAAAACTGCAGGGATTCGTTCAGGCAGACTCCAAATATTACACACATTTGAATGAAAGGAAAGAAATGTTCACATTATATATAAAGCATTTGTTTTAATACTTAACAATTTCCCTTTCTCTTAGTCAAGAGATACAATTTAAAAGTGACAACTTCATTCTTAAATACAAATGGACCAATATCACAAGAAATTTTGTTATTCTGGATATAAAATACCACATTAAAAAAGTCTGATCAGATAATCAAATAACTGATTGCATATCTAAGAGCACTTTAGACTCCATGCAGATAAATAAAGTTAAGTTCAGTTAACACAGAAGAGTTGGACAACCCACTTAACTGCTGCCAAGAAAAATATCTGTTCCTGGGCAATAAACTCTTTTGTCTAAAATATTAGCTTTGAACTTGGGGAAGGGATACTTCTAGATATTTGTGTGTCTGAAAAAAGATGCTGTTGCTTTCATATTAAATTTAATGAGTGGATTCCTTAAAGCAACATTTTTTCACCTTCACTGGGTAGCCTGAAAATATAAAAAAAATATTTTTGTATCAATAGAGAGAGATGAGGACAGGAGCACTTCTAAAACATTTTCGAAGTTTGCAGTCCTGATGCACTAATTCCCTAAAGACTGGAAACAAACCTTTGTGTTTCATTTTCTTTTCTACATTTTGTGCTTACCGACATTACAAGCTTCAGCTTGGAATTAGTGCTAAAACATAAGTAGGTCACTGTTTCAGTCAGGTATAATGAACTATAGTCAACAGCAAATTACACTTGTATTTTAGTTTGAGTTTGAACACTGTATAAAATAGTAAATCATCACTTGCAAGAAAGAATCTGAAAGCTCACAGGTAAAGAAAAAGAAGAATTATGCAATCCTGAAATATTTGGGTCTATGACAATTTGCCGCAACCAACTTGCCATGGCCAACTAGCTGCAGCCAACTCGCTATGGGACAACTCACTGCAGGACAAGAGTTACATTAATATCAAAGAAATGGTGGAATAGAATTATTAGAGAAATGGTGCAAAAGGAGGGACAAAATGAAATTTGAATGACAAAAATTAAAATAATTTTATTTATTTTAAATAATTAAATTGAATTGTTAAATTGTCCTATGGTGAGTTGTCCAACGGTGAGTTGGCCGTAGCAATTTGGTCACAATGAGTTGGCTGCAGCGAGTTGTCCCATTCCAGACATTTTTCAGACTATTTGAGTCTTCATGAAGCTTTTCTTAAAGGCAATTTGAAAACTCTGAATGTATCCAATTATTAGTAAATGTAGAATTGGAATTGCTTAAGTAATTGTATTTTAAAATTATATTGGTTATGTTTTTTTTATTTCTAACCCCAGTGCAAAGTGCTATTTTTGATTTACAAAATCCTAAATGATTTGACTCTTGGTATTTTGGGGAAGTCTGGTTATGCCTTTTATAATGACCAATAAGATCCTGTTTCAAGAGTCATATTATATGGGTGCTAAATGTCATGGACCCACAGCATTTTGTACTGATTTCTGCAGTACAGGTTGTTTAACAGTCTTTGCTATCCATATTTTTTAAAAATAAAGCCTTTTAACACATTTTCTCCAAATATATTTATCTGTATTAATATGCTTCCACGATGCCTAAGAATTCTTAAGTCGCTTGCATAATAAAAGTTTTATAACAATCTGATCCTGTTTCAAGTATTCCAACAAAGAGATTCTAAACAGTGATAATATGTGATGGAACTTAAGAAATAAGCCATAATTATAGTGCACTATAAGATAAATGAATCAATGCATACAAAATTTTATCTCTACTTCTCTATTTCATGTCTTATAGTGCTGCCAAAAGCCTTATTTAAGGACCAAACTAAATACTATATGACAGATCTCGTGCAGGTGAAGAAAATATAAATCAGATGCTTTTTGAAGGAATTCCATCCGTTTTACAGGGATTCTCGTATCCCCCCCCATTATGATTCTAATTTAGAGTGTTCTTCTATTATGGGTATTTATCCTAAGAGCACAGATAATTGGAACTGCCAAAGTGTTAAAGCGGTCCTTTGAACCAAATCTAAATAAATTTTTCAAGAATTATTTTTTATGAAGAAATTCTAAAGCCAGGATAATGTTATGCCTAACTTAAGATTAAATTTAGTTTTTGTAACAGAGCAGTTTACTTTTAAAGATAATCTGAGAAAATATAGTAATTGTGATATGGTTGTTTTTAATTTGTTGGCTATCAGATTTGTATTTTTAACTTTATATTAGTCTAACGTGCTTTCAAATAAAATCTTAACTGTTCTCCTCTGTAATTACCTCCTGACCTAGTTTCTGAGTTCTTCAGTATGCTACACTTCTGTTGATATCCAATGATTAAGAATATCATCAATGGAATTAAACTAGTTGTAATAAGTATTCCAGATCTAAATCTGAAGCTCATTGTAGCTATTTAGTGTATAGTTTTCAATTTTGTTTCTATTTTTAACAATATGGCAAAAAAAAAAAAAATGCTACAAAACCCTAGTTTGCTAGACAATTAATTCAAACATACAAAAATCTGGATGAAAATTAAAACTGCCATGTCTATCTGAAAAAAAGCCTACTGTTCCATTTCTTTATCTAATCAGCAAATAATCTATTAACATTTATCTTCTATTTGTAATATTTTAAATCAGCTCTTACGATTTGTAATGTTGTTACATAAACTATTTTTAAATATATGAACATGAAATCCTTGATAATAACAGTAATCCCATTAAAAATCACAGTAAACAGTGTCTAAAACAAAATAGCTACAGAATCACGTATTTGATTCTGATTTAGAAACGTAAGTTTCTTAATTCAAACTACAGATGACTCCCTTAGCTTTTTGTTTAGTTAACATTGTAAACAAAGTAAATCTGCTCTTCTCAGCCTCTCTGCTTCGAGTTTCATTTGATTTAGAGTTATTCCTACAATGGGAACAAAGCATAGTTAGAAACAGAGATTCTTTTTTTTTTCTTCAAAATTGGTATTGACTACATCACTGACTTTATGTTTTTGGTGTTCCAAGCTGGAAGCCAAGAATTCTATACTGCTAGGATTGTAAGCCACTGGTAGAACATTTAATAAATTCTCAGTGCCATGGATTAAAGAGATCCATTGAGATGGCTCTTGTATATATATAAAAAAAACAGTAAGGTTAAAAGAAATAAAAATCTGCATCTTTTTTTATAATAAGCTAACTTAAAATATAGGCATAGAACACAGCTATGTTGTCCAGTTAGAAAATAACAAACAGCATAGTATCTTCATTAAGGCCAATTGACACATTACCAAGTAGCAAACAAGTTTTGAACTCAGTGCTACTCTTCAAATAGACCCTTAGGCAAATAGGTGGGTATGACTTAAAAACAACAACATGCCTCCTAGAATACTCTCTGTCTTGTAAAAACTGTAAATTTAAGTTTCAAGTGGAATCTGTGACAAAACATTGCAATGTAGAGTGCTCTTGTACAGGATAATAACTAACATCTTCTTTTTCCAAGGTAATTTCCCCTTACTCTCCTTATCTGCCCCCTTTTAAGATGAACAGTTTTTATATACATTGTGCATGGACAATGTGCATCATTCACTTGCTCCTCTGAAGAACTTTTTCAGTAAAGCTTTTCCATTACTTTTGCAAACCTTAGTGTTAACAGAAGATTCCCAATTATTCCTCCTCATTATTGGACAATTTTTTTTTAATTTTTTTTAAAAGTTTTTTATTAATAAAACAATTAAAACAATTAAAACAAAAAAGGACATGACATGACGTTCCAGTATATATAATCCTAACAATTCGTTCCTTATCATACTTAAAGTTCTATATATACATCTCTCTCTATATATAAATATATATTCCCCTATATAATACAATATTATACAATCTTGAGCTTGTTTCTCTATATATTAACATATAATTTTATATACCACAAACTTAAACTTTAACTCAAAACCCGAACAGTTCTTCTTGACTCATACCAGCAGTAAAATTTGTCCCAGATTCCAAAATATTGGACAATGTTATTTACTGCATAAAGAGCCTCATTTATGGAACAA